GTAAGCATGTTTAATGCTTACAAAACCAGGACTAATGAAAAACTCTCTGGTAAGAATTACTCCACTGAATAGATTGTTGACTCTATGGCGTCACATCACATGACAGGGAATTTAAATGTGCTCGTTGACACCTATGATGTTGCACCTTGTCCTGTTAGGTTACCCAACGGTGCGGACACCAAGGCCGTGAAAGAATGCACTGTTGAACTTGGAAATAATTTTAAATTGTTGCACGTATTATATGTCCCAAAACTCAATTGTAATTTATTGTCAGTAGGTCGATTACTTCGTAACACAGATTATATTGTGACGTTTACTAATAAGTTGTGTGTGATACAGTACCGCATCTCGAGGACTCTGATTGGTGCGGGTGAACAGCTTGATGGGGTCTATGTCTTCAAGGGTGTGGTGCTGGTTTGTGCTTACAAGACAGATGGAATTGGGTCATGCGATTTGTGGCATCGGAGATTGGGACACCCTTCTTATCAAACGGTTAGCTTACTTCTTAATATCACTAATAGTAAGAACAAAACCTGTGATGTTTGTTTGAAATCAAAGCAAACTAGAGATATTTTTATTCAAAGCAACAATAAAGTGACTGGTTGTTTTGCATTAATTCATTGTGACTTATGGGGTGCTTATAGAGTACCTGCATCTTGTGGTGTTGTATATTTTTTGACAATTGTTGATGATTATTCTCGAGCGGTTTGGATTTATTTGCTGGCTGAAAAAAGTGAAGTTGGTCGAACACTCAAGAATTTTTGTGCCATGATTGAACGACAATTTAATAAGAAGGTTAAGGTGGTGAGAAGTGATAATGGAACAGAGTTTAAATCCTTGAAATCGTATTTTGACGAGCAAGGAATTTTATTTCAAACTTCCTGTGTCGAAACACCCCAACAAAATGGTCGTGTGGAGAGAAAGCATCGTCATATTGTGAATCTGGCCAGAGCGCTTAGGTTTCAAGCACATCTTCTGATCAATTTTTGGGGTGAGTGTGTTTTGACCGCAAGGTACTTGATTAACCGGACACCTTCGACCCTTCTTGGTGGTAAAACACATTACGAGATGCTATTTGGACAAAGTCCTTATAAACATCTCAGAGTTTTTGGTTGCCTGTGTTTTTCACATACTCGAGACCGTGACAAATTTACCGCTAGGAGTAGGAAATGTGTCTTTATTGGGTACCCTTTTGGGAAAAAGGGGTGGAAATTATACGACCTTGAGTCTGGTGACTACTTCGTCTCACGAGACGTGGTGTTTAGTGAGACCGAGTTTCTCTTTGCCACTCTAGAACATCAACCCTTAGTAACCAGTCCTCCCGTAGCCATAGAAAATGATGAGGAACTTGCAGTATCTGAGTCACCTCATATAGAAGTCAGAGGGAGTGACGCGATCGATGAAGAAGGGCATCAGAACACGGGTAATGAGGAGGAGGCAGGTCCTCTTGATGAGACAAGGAGCCATACAGATTGCAGAAATAATGAAACTCCAGCTGCTCCTCAGCTCACCACGGAGTTATTAGGCTGCGAACATCGAGAAAAGCGGCCCCCCAGCTATTTACAAGACTTTTTCACACACTCTGCTCGTCATTTGGACCCCTTTGTTGTTTCTCCCGCATCATCTTAGTCCTCAGGTACTCCTTATCCCATAACTCATTATGTGACATATGATAATTTTTCTGTGAAACATAGACATTTCTTGGCAGTTGTTACTGCAAGCCGAGAACCTACTCGTTTCTATGAGGCAATGACTGATGCTCGGTGGTGCGAGGCTATGCGCCAAGAGATACAGGGTCTAGAAGACATGGGACATGGACCTTGGAAGACGTCCCACCTGGAAAAAAGGTAATCGGGTGTAAATGGGTCTACAAAATCAAGTACAACTCTGATGGATCCATTGAAAGATTTAAAGCACGGTTGGTAGTCCTGGGAAACACTGAAGTTGAAGGTCTTGATTACAACGAGACCTTTGCCCTTGTGGCTAAAATGGTCACAATTCAAACCTTCTTAGCAGTTGTTGCGGCCCAACATTGGGAATTGCATCAGATGGATGTCCACAATGCTTTTTTGCACGATGATCTCCATGAGGAGGTCTATATGAAACCTCCTCCAGGTTTTTCGGCCTCTGGGACTGGAAAGGTATGCAAACTCTGGAAATCTTTGTATGGTCTGCGACAAGCCCCCCGGAACTGGTTCTCTAAGTTAGGTGTGGTCTTGAAAACTTTTGGGTTTGAACAGTCCTATTTCAATTATTCCTTATTTACATATTGCAAGAATGGGCTTGTCTTGCATGTCCGGGTTTATGTTGATGACTTAATCGTTGGTGGGAATAACCCGGAGCTCATATACAAATTTAAACAGTATATGAACCGATGTTTTCGCATGAAGGACTTGGGTGTTCTTAAATATTTTTTGGGCATCGAAGTGACTCGCGAATCATCGGGGATATTTCTTTGCCAAAGAAAATATGCACATGATATTATTATAGAAACTAGCTTATTGGGGTCCAAACCTGCTCACTTTCCTATTACTCAGAATCATAAACTTGCCCTTGCTGACAGAGCACTCCTGGATGACCATGAACGATATCGACGTCTTGTGGGTCGTCTGCTTTATTTAACCATTACACGACCAGAGCTCAGTTATTGCATCCATGTCCTGGCTCAATTTATGCAGTGTCCTCGTGTTGATCATTGGGATGCGGCATTATGTGTGGTTCGTTATCTGAAAGGACGTTCTGGTTAAGGAATATTTTTGTACTCTAATAGTGATTTGCAATTGTATGCCTATTGTGATTCTGATTGGGCAAGTTGTCCTCTAACTCGTCACTCTCTTACTGGGTACTTTGTCATGTTAGGACATTCCCCCATCTCTTGGAAGACTAAGAAACAACATACTGTCTCCCGGTCCTCTACCGAGGCTGAATACCAGTCAATGGCTACTTCCAGTTGTGAGTTGAAGTGGCTGAAAGGTCTGCTATCGTCTTTGGTTATATCTCATCCTCAACCTATACGCATGCTTTGTAAAATCAAGTTGCTCTGTACATTGCTGCGAACCCTGTCTTCCATGAGCGAATCAAACATATTGAAGTTGATTGTCATTTCATTCGCAATGAGCTCCAAGCCGGCACCATTGCGCCTTCCTATGTACGTACCGGTGAACAAGTTGCCGACATTTTCACAAAGGCTCTTGGACAAAAACAATTTGATTTTTTCCTTCTCAAGCTGGGCATTCGCAATCCTCATGCACCATATTGAGGGGGAGTATTGGACGAAGATAAGGATCAAAAGAGTCCTAGGAGATCCCAGATCTGTATTTTGTATATTTCCTGTACAGTTAGGATTTAGAAGTTTTGTTTTTCTTTTTGGATTATGAAGTCTTTTGGTTTTTAGAAAGTTTTGGGGAGTAAGAACTCCATCGAATTTGTATATATATATCAAAAGATAACAATGGAAAGGCAGGACCTTTGGCTTCCGAAATTTTTCACCTTCAAACCAAACATAGCATAAGGTGATGCTTGACATCGATGATGATTTCTTGAAAATCACTGCCATGTTTGAGCCCATCAGCATTAGAATTTCTGTTTGGTTGGCTTATTTTGATAGATTTTAGAAATTCGGTCAAATTGGATTATTAAAATCAGCTCTTTTCAGGGATCACCTTTTTTTGGTGATTTGCTGATTTCTATTTGTTTCCTATATTTTGAGGATGTCATGGCATCCAACATGTCATTAAATAATAACTCTAATATAAAAATAATCAGCCCTTAAAAATCAGTGCCAAACAGATTTAAAGTCATTTTTCAAAAATCTACTTACATGGCATAAATGATACAAAAGAACAATTTTTAGTGATTTTTAGAAATCACTGATTTAAAAAATCGCCCAGAATAATCGGCAAGGAAGAATTATTAGCGATGCCAAACATCACCTAACATGGTCTTTGGAAGCGTGGGTGCTTTTTGGGACCGATTTTCAAGAAAAAACATCCATGCTTTCAAGACCCGTTTTTCACAAAAAAACACTTCTGCCACATAGGCAGTGAGCAACACTATGCTGTTTGGTAAGATGATTTTCATTACTGTTTTTCATGTATGTGCTGACAAATAAGCACTACATAGGATGCACATCAGTCAACTATTTGAGAAAATGGTTCACCAATGCATGAAATGCCAAATTTAATGTTTTATGCATCGGTGGGGTCCTGGTTTTTGAGACATGCCCGATTTTTTAATAATCATCTGAACCAAAACAATGAGACACATGGGACCTTGAGGTTGGGCTTGGGTTATGCCCATCATCCTATTTGCTAAGCCCAGACAGGCCCAGCCCATTGTAACCCATTTGACGGATGAACCTTCTTCCTTTGTCTAATTGAAAATATCTTCTTATAGTGGATAAGGGAATTGCTATCCTTACGGCAGCAACCCACTACGATCTTAAAGACTCAAAATTACTAATTTGACATTTTGACTTGAATTAGACGTAAGGCCGCAAAGGTCAAGCTCATCGTAACCTTGGCACTTGCTTACCTAAAATAATCAATCGTACCGCTGGCATTCGACTTCCAGACAAGTTTAGCGATTTCCCAACTCCCAAGGCGTTTTGGACCACTATTCTTCTGGTAGGGGTGGCCCACACAATCTCCATTGCAAGGTGAACAAGAGTAACAAGTGTCCAAAGGCCAAATGACCAATACACCCTTCATTCTTCCAAAAATCTGTAAGAGATGCCTTTATTCTTTATTCTGTTATTTGACTCTAAAAGGCTTACTAGCTTGTAATTTGTCATCATTAACGAATTATTAATTTATTATTTTTCAGATGAACGATCTAGATTGATCACGCCATCCCTTCATGGGTGGAGAAAACCCGGAGAGGATTATTTTCATCTCCGCTTTATTTCCTGTAATTTCTGATTAATTTCAAGGGTATTCTCGTGATATCGGTTCAAATAAAACCACCACCGCAATTAATAACTTCTCCCTGTTTCTCTGACCTCTGTCTCTTTCTCGTTCCTCTGCTCTCACGCTCGCTTGCTCAGTTGCTTATTCATGGCTTCCAAGCTGTCATTATTCAATTTTATTGATATATGGATCCCAATCGAGAAATTCTCGAAGACCCCTCCGATAATTCCTAACGTTGTTCTTCCACCGCTTAGTTCTACTGGTTTTTGTTGCACTAGGAGCGTTGCAAGTACTAGAGGAAGAGTTGCAGTTACTCATGCAGTGAAGGAAGAAGTGGTTCAATCGACCAATTTGGAGGATACCCAGAAGCCCAAATCTACCCCTTCTACTCCTAAGCTCGTACTGGTGGTCGGAGGCACCGGTGGTGTCGGTATGCACTTTTCCTCTCTCACTACTTCCATGTATAACTCCCATCGTTCATTCTGATTTTCTTGATTTCCAAGTCTAATTTTGTCTATGGTGTCTCATAAACTGTCGTTTGTGGAAACATTATGGACTTTGTGTCAGCCTAAATGATGTTGAACGGTTTTCTCTTTCTTTCTTTTGACGGGTAAACCTCGGATCGAACCCCGGAACTTATCGTTGTGTTGCAGCATCTCAAGCAATTGAGAGCTAAAAACATTGCTTGAAGGAGGAGTCGAACCTCCGAAGTTTATTGCGACAACTCTAGCCTACTAAAACTGATGTTTTCCAGCTAACTGTTGATATTTGGTTTCAGTTAATGCCTTTGACTTTGAGACTTGGGAGAGAGTTTATGATGAGTGTTAAAAGTCATGATTATGGTTGTTTGAAAAGTTCAATTGTGGACTTTTTTTATAGTTTTTGCATGTTTAGTGAAGTTGGTTTTATATTACAGACTGGAAATATGTTGACAGCCAACCATGTCGTCCTTGAGTGTTTCTTTATGCATTGAAGGTGTAGTTTTGCATCATCAAGTGAAATGAAAGAGAAGCAGGAACTTCAAAAGAAGGGGAAAGGAAGTTTTTGAAGGCAATGGAATTGATGTACGTAATTAGAAATACAATTGCAAAGGATGGGGGATGAGTCAGATTGGAATTATTCTTCCTATATACTGTATCATGTAAAAGTAGAAATCAGGATGCCTCTTTTTTTTTCCCACCCGACATAGGGAAGTAGTGGTGTTCAACCAGATTCTTTAACTGTTTTCTTCAAAGCCATGTACACAAATATTAAATTTATTTGTATTAATCAAACAACATAAGGTATGGATTTTTTAGTTTGAATGGCTACCACACTCATGTGGGTGTCTAGAACTCTAAAGCATGTTCCCAATAACTCCCTCTTGTTTCACATGGCAAAGTGTGTCTGCCATGCTTCCTGTTCATTTTTCATTTTACTTGACCCTGTGAACACTCCCAATGCAGTTGCCAAAGTCAATAGGTCAGGTTATGTTCTTTTATGTGCTCAAAGTATAGATCAATAGGGTCAATAGCTTGTATTTAGTTTATAGATCTATGACATTATAGACTCCATTAACCGTTTTCATCTGAGGACTTCCTTGTGCATTTTGGTGATCTCAGTGTATTCACAAGATTGGGTATATGATAGATGATTTCTACCTGGTCCTGGTGCAAGACAGCTTTTCCCCTTCCATATTTCTTGTGTTCAGAGTATGGATCAATAGGTCAATAGCTTGTATTTAGTTTATAGATCTATGACATTATAGATTCCATTAACCGTTTTCATCTGAGGACTTCCTTGTGTACTTTGGTGATCTCAGAGTATTCACAAGATTGGGTAAATGATAGATGATTTCTACCTGGTCCTGGTGCAAGACAGCTTTTCCCCTTCCATATTTCATGTGCTCAGAGTATAGATCAATGGTTCAATAGCTTGTATTTAGTTTATAGATCTATGACATAGATTCCATTAACTGTTTTCATCTGAGGACTTCCTTGTGTACTTTGGTGATCTCAGAGTATTCACAAGATTGGGTATATGATAGATGATTTCTACCTGGTCTTGGTGCAAAACAGCTTTTCCCCTTCCATATTTCATTGTTTAGGATTGCCTTGAGGTAGGCAGTAGCACAATTTTAATGTGTTTCGAATGTGTATGCAAGTTTCTTTTAGATGACGAATAGGTAAAATATTGAAAATCATAAAGGGGTGGAAATTGCAAACAATTCCCAAAGAAGGGGAAGTTGAACAACGGTGGAGATTGCAATGACAACCAATAAAGGGGTGAAGAAGTTCTCAGTTCCTTTCCCCAAAGAATTTTATCAAGCAAACAATTACTTGGCTTACTACTTTCCAAAATCCAAATTGATGGAGGAAATTTATGGTGTTGGTCCTTAATCTGTAAGTTCTTTTGCTAAACTTGGGAACCATGTAATGATGAAGTCAATTTCATGATGTACGTTAATGGCTTACATACCTATAATTTCATGAAGACTTCTGCATTGTTGTAAAGATGTAGGTTTGGAAAACAGAAGGAAATGAAAGCTACCATTTCCATGTTTATATGGTGAATGAAAAAGAAAAAAATATTTAGATGGTGAAGTACACCTGCTAGGCTGCTTCTTCTGATTAGTTCTACTTGATCAAGAAACCCCTTTTTTGTACGACTAAGATCAACATGTACATGTAGATAATATCATATCAACTGTGAGAGCCTTTGATAGGCTGCAGTCAAGTAGTGAAATACAAAACCAAGGAGAAGGCAAAATACTACCTTAAGTAGAACTGTAGAGTTGGAGAAGCCAGGTGGAAAGCTCCATTCATTTCTTATAGATTGTAGAAAGAGGACTGCATCATTAACTTCAAGAAGGGTCAAGAATCCTCTTTACTAAACCTAACAAACCCCAACTTCCCTCTGAGCAATCTTAATAGAAACTTTAAAAATGTTTACCTTTCTTAAAAAAGAGCCTCCAAGGAATCTAGTGGAGCCCATGCTACTTGGATCTTATATCTCAAAGTGGGGTGGATGATTTGTTGCTCATGGAATCATTCCACATGCCCATAGGTATACAAACGTAGAAACACCTCCGTTACAAACAATCATCTGTTCTTATGCTTTGTGCTGTACTTTTGTTCCATGATAAGGCATATGCCATTGTCTATAGAAAAGAAACTTGACATCATAATAAGCCTATGTGTTTGTTTTCCAATACAATAAAATATATATAATCATGCTCATCTAATAAATCCTTTGAAGGATTTTTATTACCTTGGTTAGAGCCAGTACCCTGTTGTTTTCCTCAATCCATCCATAAGAACTAGAACAATGCTCTCTGAGGGATATCTAACCATCCTCTAGGCATCCCCAAGGTTGGACGTGGATAAGAAACCCCAAAGCATAAAAATGAATCAGGCATGTAAGGTGTGGATAAGGAAGAAGAGAGGCATGATATGCTGTATGGATTTAAGAAATAATGTGACTTTAAGAGAAAAGAAATGTTAAAAAGATGTGAGTTTTTCCTTAATGCTCCAGCTCAACAAAGGATTTTTGTATGTCAAGTCTAGTGGGACAAACTGTACTTGAAAGAAATGGTGAAAACTCAACCTTTATTGAGCTTCATGATTAATCTTCTGGTACCACAGCAGATGGACTTATCTGTTATGATTGGGTCCAATAGTTTGATTTAATCAGAAACCTATTACTGGAGAACTATATGTGCATATAGGACTATGCTATTAAGTAGATCTGGGTTCCGATTATCTACTTCAAAAATTTCCTTATTCTGGCATAAATACCAGATTAACAGATTGCAACAGTATCCTGCAATAAAAATAGCAAAAAATGGTTTTTTTTGTCTTGACGTAATAATATATATTTTGTAATTAATTTTATATTATTCTCTTTATATCTAATTTTTATTTTTATTATATGTAAGCTTAAGTTGTTCTTTATATTTTGCTTGATGTAGTAGTATTCAATTTTCATTAATTTCCTTCATTATATTTCTTTTTTCACTTTTTGTATTCTGTGGATTTAAGGTTTTTCTTATTATTTTTTACTGTTTCATTGTCTCCAGGACAGTTGATAGTAGCATCCTTGCTCAATCGGAATATTAAGTCATGCCTAATAATACGAGATCCTTCCAAAGCAATATCTTTGTTTGGTAAACAAGATGAGGATACTTTACAGGTGCTAAGTTCTGGCCAATTCATATACATTCTTTTCTATTTATAAACTGTTTATAATGTGCCTATTTTGTCATTTAAAATCTAAATCTAATGTATGATGCTCTTACCCTTAAACATGAAATGGATTTTTTGTCCTGTATGAAACTTTTACTGTTTGCTATGGGTATAAAATGGTATATCTGAAAAGCTTTTAAATCTTATAGGTACGGAAAGGGGACACACGGAACCCAGATGACCTGGATCCAGCTATATTTGAGGTTTGTCGTTTCAATTCTTTTTTTCTATACTAAGTGAATAAATTTGGGAAACTTCTGTATATGGATTGTCTAATATCTTGATATCTTGTAGAGAGTTACACATGTTATATGCTGCACTGGGACAACAGCTTTTCCTTCAAAGAGATGGGATGGAGATAATACTCCGGAAAGAGTAGGTCAGGATAATGTGTTGCAGTAAAAAGAAATCTGAGAAATTATTAATCAATCTATCAGTACATATAGTGTCATTGGCAGGATCATGACCTAGATGTGAACAATATTTGAATATCAGATACCCCTACAATCTAGGGACTTGCAGCCTTCTCTTTGTTCATCCTAGCTTTCCACCTTTCCCATTCATTGACTGTTCTCTAACATTTAATTTTGCTTTTATCTTACAATCCATATGATAAATGGTAGTGTTGGAATTGCCATTCTTCAACGTGCATGGCTGAATGCTCCTAAGTCCTAACCTTATTTTTGTCATTGAAGATTGGGAAGGTGTTCGGAATCTTGTATCTGCACTGCCTCCATCAGTGGAGAGATTTGTTCTTGTTTCCTCAGTAGGAGTAACAAAGTACAATGAACTTCCATGGAGGTAAGTACACCACAAAAGTGGAACCAGCTTTTATATTTTCTGAATGTAAGTGCAGCTTCTATTGGTTGGACCTGCATATCTGGATTTATCTGTAACTCATTTTTGTAATAATTTCAAGTTCTCTTTATAAATTTATCTAAGAAAATTCAAATAACATTTTTCATGAAACACATAGTTTCCTGAACCTATTTATATTTTATTGATCTGAATGGCACTTTTTTAGAATATGTTATAATCTTGCCACAGATCATTTATGAATTCTTGCATCACATACTTCACCTTAATTACCAGGAAGCCATGAATTTTCCATAAAATATTACTAGATTGGAAGTTGAATTTGTTCCTTTGTTGTTCAGCATGCTATTAGCTCTGGGCCTACATGTTCTGATGATGGTTCTTTTTCATCCCCTTGCTATTTTGGCTTGATTAGTTCGAGCTTAGTTTTTTAGTTCTTAGTGTCAAGACCTATTTTCTATTTCAAGTTTGTTTCTTATTCTTCTAATTATTTCTATTTTTATACCGTCCTTAATTCTCTTTTGGATTTGAGAGTGAACAGTGTGCACCTTGGATTGATTTTGAGAACTCAATATCTAAATAAGCTGTCTTACTTTTTGCAGTGTTCAGAAGTATAAAATGTGAGATCCCCTACCTTGAATTATATAAAAACTCTGGTTGGATGTTTTGTGTAAACCTACCTACTTTCCTCTATTTAAACTGGATTAATATATTAAATTTTCTATTAGATGAAAATGTCTTGCCAAATGGTTATAAAATCAAACACTTCCCAAATTGTGCATTATTATGGATAAATGCATCCTGAAAACGTGTGTGATGAAGTGCATATGTATGTCTTCACACAGACTTTCAAGTTGCTTCCTGATAATAATCTTCCAAAATATGATTTCTTTCAAGGTGCCCACATGTGCAGAGTTCAATCTGCAAGACCACATCATATGACATGGGGTCTGCTAGTCAAGGCATTTAGAGAAGTCTAAATGACCAAGGAATCTTCTTGGAAGGAGAATACTTGGGGACCCGGAGGGCTCAACATGTTCTCCTCACCATCTTGTGTCCCTACTCCCTAGTGTATGCATGGGAAATGCATAGGATTCTTATCTAAAGGACAGTCTGGATAGGCTATGTCTTCACTTGATGTGGTAGAAATAGGATAAATCACTAGAGAAAAACCTGATGACCTTGGTTATGAGAACTTTTTTCCTAAACTTACACTTTTTTTTTTACATTTTCCAATTTTTGTTTGTTTATATATATATATATATCAATTAACTATAATTTGAAGAATCCCAAAGTTAAGGGTGATTCGGTTTCACTCTTCACTTCGTTTGGTCTATAGCTGTGTAATGGAAAAGAAGTAATTAATAAAACTAAGGACATATATAATTCTAGACATGCAATGACCAAAAGTGAGGTCCAAAGCATTAAAAGGAAAGCAGTGTATCTTATCTTGGGATTCTGATCTAGTGAGCTACCGTTTTTTTTTTTTTTTTTTCAACAGCATCATGAATCTCTTTGGAGTTCTCAAGTTTAAGAAGATGGGGGAGGATTTTGTTTGCAATTCAGGTCTTCCCTTCACAATAATTAGGTCAGGTACCTTTCTCTTTGTATGTACAGGTTTCCAGAAAATAGTAATCCATCACCAGAGAGAAACTTCCTAGTATGTAGAATTTTATAGTTCTCTATTTTTCAAAGTATATCTCCATTTGTATGACAGAGCTGGAAGATTGACAGATGGGCCATACACCTCATATGACCTGAACACTTTGCTTAAAGCAACTGCTGGGCAACGGCGTGCAGTCCTTATAGGTCAAGGTATATCATTATTAATCCTCATGAACAGGAAAAATTGAGAAATTTTCCATGGTTTCTCCAATAATATCAAGAAAATGACTAGGTTTATCATTACTAACAAGTAAAATACTTCTATTTCTTTTGAAACAGTAAAATATAATTGTTTTAAATCATGAAGTGCTTCAATTATGTGAAAATGATATTATCATTGGACTCCATGCATGTGGATTATGATATTATCTACTATTCATACGCAAGGAATAACAAGGAAGTTCAAATAAGGGGGCTCTTCCTTTTAAGTCCTTGTTCCTTGTTTACATTCATAGTATGTGATGAAATATCCATTAGTGGGATTGATTTGATGACCCCAATTGAGCATCAGAAAATCAATGTCATTCAACTTCAATTTACACCAAGAAATCAATAATTAATCATATATACACCTTAGTCCCTGAACTATAACCTAGAAGTACAACTTCAAAGCTCTCTGTCCAGGTTGATATATTTCTACTTGGCTATAGTTACGTACCTTGTTGACCATTCAACTAGCTACTATTGAGTAAAGAGTAGGTCAGGGGCAGAGCTAGGTCACGAGGGATCAAGGCATCCCCTCCTTCACAGAACGTTTCAAAAACCTCTTGCATATGTTGGGAATGATAGGGCATGACCCCACTTATAGAGTGGCCTCCCCAAATTATGATCCTTCTTGGCCCCTGGCTCAGGCCTTGTTTTTTGTTTCAGAAAAGCCTAACAAAGAGAAACCTTTTGGATGTTTAGTTTCTATCTACAAAAATCAGAAAGTACCTTTTGGTTTCATGCATCAAGACTTCCCTGAAAAAGCCCTTTGAGCTGAAGAATTTGCTTCAGAATGGATCCTCTTATCATATGCTCTTAGAAAGATCAAATTCACCCAGAACACACAGTGTCTTAAATGATTTTAATAAAAAAAATATTGAGCAAGTGGTTATATCATGAAAAATGATATTCCTAATTTAGTTTTGTAGTTTCCATGCATATTGTTTTCTGACTCATCATGTTTTCTTCTTTTATTTACCACTATCATCCCATTCATGGCTTCTCAGGGGATAAACTTGTAGGAGAGGTTAGCAGACTTGTTGTTGCTGAAGCTTGTATTCAGGCATTGGACATAGAGTTTACTCAAGGTCAAATATATGAAATCAACTCAGTTGAGGTATGAATCGTCACATAATTTGTAAAAAATATTGATGGAAAATGATATTGGAAATTTATTTCTCATATTCTTCAGGATCCACTGAATATGTTGTCATGGATGTGTAACTATCATATAGCTTTCTATTTCTTCTATGAGTTTATCTTGAATATGAGGCTTGATAAAGTAACTTTATGCATTTTATTGACTTTTGTTAAATTTAAGTATGCATATATGTTCCTTTTTGATAGAGTTTACTGCCTGTGTTTTTTGTTATTAGCTCTCACCAGGAATGAATTTTCTATTAGATGGATCAAATCTTTAGAACTGATTTTGTTGAAGGATGAGCATCAGGACTTGAAAGATGGAATGAAAAACAACAAGAGCATTTGAAACTACAAAAAAAAATAAAGAAATATTTTCCAGAAATTGGAGAGTGGATTCGGGTAGTCATGTACAAAGAATACCATCAATGCCACTGTTAGGAGCCTATAATTGCAGGTTGAAGGCAACAGCAGGAGTGTAGGATAGAAGGAACAGGTTGATGTAGTGATTACTAACAAACAATTTGAGTTGGTATGCTCAAGAAGTGAATATTTATTTGGATGAACACAACCTAGGAATTTTATAACATTCATGTAAGCAAAGCAATCATTGGGGCAAGGTTTTGCTGATGATCATGATACCTTAAATCAGAATTTTGACAAGATATCTAGCAATACTATACAAGTTACTAGTTAGGATATTGACAAGATATCTGGACCCTCTTAGTTTGGATGTGAGATTATGGTCCCCTCACCCAAAAGGCTACTTCACTTGTGCTTCCTTTTTTAAATCCCTTTGCTCTTCCCATGGACAGTGGGGTTTCCCATCCAAGTAGATATGGCCTAGACCGGTTCCACCTAAAGTTATTATTTTCTGCTGGGAGGTGTTTTATAGAATGATTAATACCTTGGACTGCTTGCAAAAGAAAAGGCCTTCTTTGTGTTTGTCCCCTAACTGGTGTGTACTTTGCAGGGCTAGTGGTGAGGATTGATATCACTTACTTGTATCTTGTTCCTTTTCTAGTGCTATTTGGAGTTGGATTTTCTCTTTGTTTGGGTGCAGGTGGAATCTTTCCACAGCTTTAAGTCAGCTGTTCGATCCTTCCTTTTTGTGTGGCCTACAAAAAAAGGAAAAATAATGTGGCAATGTATTAGAGCATCCGCCTTGTGGAAAATCTGGGAAGAAAGGAATACAAGGGTATTCAAGGAAAACGGAAGAAGCATTTAGGCTGTTGAGAACAGTATCTTGACTAGGGTCATTCATTGGTTAAGAGCTATGGACTTATTTCACACATTCTCTTTTGATGATTTTTGGAGAAACTGGATAGCGGTGGCGAACAGCCATACAGGAAGGACAAGGAATCTGCAGTGTGGATGCCTCTGCCTGAAGGATGGGAAAATCTGAACTTTGATGAAAGCAGCCAAGGAAACCCAAGCCCATTGGGGATAGGAGGGGTGCTGAGAGATAAGGAGAGCAAAATATTAGCACTGTTTTCAGGCCCCGTGGGAATAGGAGACTCCAATAGAGCTGAGATGTTAGTGGCGGTACATGGTATTCAGATTGCAGAACAATTAGGAGTTCAACACTTGGTTGTTGAAGGGGACTCTAAGATTGTTGTGGGATGGCTGACAGACCCAGCTTCAGCTATGTGGCGACACAGAGACCTGTCAAGGAAAGTCAATTGGCTCACAAGAAACATGACTGTTACCTCTCTTTGGGTGGGAAGATTAGCAAATACCTTAGCGGATGGGTTAGCTAAGCAAGGGGCTTCAATGGAACATTTATTTTGGGCTTCTCTGTAATTTTATTTCTGGTGATTTCTATTTTTAATTTGATGTAATACTTGCTAGAAGAGGTAACAACTCGTGCCTCCTCTTGGGTCTCCTGTATTTGCCTCATATTTCTGGTTTAATAAATTATATTCATTCATAAAAAAAAATATTGACAAGATAATTTAATTAGCTCTAAAACTAAGAGTTTTGACAAAGACCAAAGCATTCCTTCAATATTGATCTTCAAATACAAGAGCACAAGCATGGAATTTTGGTGTTTGTTTAGTTAAGGTGCAAATTTACTGATAGAAAAGAAGGAAAGGTTGAAGGTTAAGGGATACCTTCTTTAACAATGAAGTACGATAGCCTGCAGAAGGAAAGGAAAAAATACTAAGTACATGACCAAGGTTTTCAAGTGGATAAATAAATAAAAATGTCAAACACTTATCTTGGAAGTGGCCTTATCCTCCCTTTCTGCACATTTAACTTGTATTCCCTTCATGAAATTGTTGCTATCCATAAATTAAATAAATGACGTAAAGAGCAGTGGTACAGTTCTCTATTTCCCAACTTTTGTGCAGCTCCTCTGATTAATTTCCCAATTTCCATCAAATCAGAGATTTTAATAGGAACTGTGGGAATCCATAGAATCACTCCAATCTTTAGTTGCACTTTTATCTTTGCTCTGATTTCAAGAGTAGTACAGCTAGCCATCATTATTTGGATAAGAGAATCCATCATATCATTAATCCCCATGACATCATCAGAGATGGGACCAACTAAATTTGAAATTGCATGTTCATCAGAAAGGTTCATTTTGTCAGTGGTGTCCGGAATCTCTGGGCTCTTCTCCCCCAGAACAACAAGATGGACTAAGCATTGAACTGGAAACTGATATTTGTTTTCGATGGGTGTTGTGCAAGGTGATCCAAACAAAAGGACCTAGAACAACAGAGAGTGCAGGAACTTGCACAACACCCATAAAAAAAAAAACCACTCCAGTGCAACCATTTAAATCTGAGAATCTAATTATTAAGAAAGCTAGTATTGAAGAACCATGAATTGGAAGGAACCTATGAATTATCATAAATATGGTCATATTGATCTCAACAATAACATCATAGCAAAAAAATTTACATTCAATTTCCATGATCATATCTTGACTTAGAATTGTATTATATATGCAGTTGCACCTAGTTACAGAATGATTTTAGGGAACATGTTCTTTCCATTATTAAACTATTAATTTATAATTCTGAGTTACACTCACTGCATGGGCAGTCCTTATATACAGAGAAGATAACATCAAACTCATTCAGAGTTACACTCAATCACTTTTCTCATAACAAAGCAGATTTTCTGGCTCCTTAACCTACAGAAGCCTGAGTGGACAAAATATAATCTTCATTGTATTTTGCCCACACATTATTTAGCCATAACATTTATTTTGTAAATACTATGGTTTCTATTACATGATATTCAAAAGTATACTACTATTCACCAAAAAACAGTAATGAGTTTTCGGCTCACATACAACATTACAGTTGTCCTCTCCCATCAGCCCACATCTGGGAAACATATATAATGCTTCCTGAATCATTAAAAAATATTAGAGAAAGTCAATATTTCATAATCAGACAAAACATGCTTTTTAAGCTATTCAGCCAAAACTATTACCACATATTGCTGTAACTCATTTTAATCCTGAGGCCCCTGTCTATAACCTCAAGCAGTCTTATCCAAGACCTTCTTTAGCAGGTGTTCACCTGCTCTGAAACAAAACAGTGACACTTAGTTGTCTTTTTTCGCCTTTAAAAGAATCTCTACTTTGTCCATAATGACAATCACCTTGCAGAAGGAATTTAACCATTAATTGATGAAGAAAGTGTCAAGTACATGCATTAAAAGTAATTGAAGAATTTTTAAATTGTGCCTCAATGCTTCTGCTTTTCATGAATTCAATTGAAGCAATTGAAGATTTTATATCTTTAAGGAAAATAGTAGTGCTATCTGCAAAAGCAAGATGATCAAAGCAAAAAGCCCTACAACCATAGAGAGTGCAGGAACTTGCACAACACCCAAAAAGCCACTCCAGTGCAACCATTTAAATCTGAGAATCTCTTTATTAAGAAACCAAATATTGAAGAGACATGAATTGGAAGGACCCTTTGAATTATCATAAACATGATCATATTGATCTCAACGGTAACATTATAGTGAAAAAAATTACATTCAATTTCCACGACCATATCTTGACTTAGAATTGTATTATATCTGCAGTTGCACCTAGTTACAAAATGATTTTAGGGAACATGTTGTTGCCATGATTAAACTATTAATTAATAATTCTGAGTTACACTCACCGGATTGGCAGTCCTTACTAATAAAGAAGATAATATCAAACTCATCAAATGTGATCATTTCCTGCTTTTTCCGTCTGATATGCACTTTTCTTGTTCCACTTCCACTGTAGCAGAAGCGTTTATGAATGCTAATGACTTGTAATAAGCTCTGCAGTATTTGTGTCTGTTGCTCAGTGTTTGTAAGCTAAGGGTCTGCAGTTTCTCATATTTTGTATAGCATGGCTTAATTTTTATGATGCTTTCTACTTAGAGTATTCTTCTACGTAAATCACTCCTTTTTCCTGAACTTGCTAAATACAATTTGGTTTAGGGGGAAGGACCAGGAAGTGACCAGGAAAAGTGGAGGGATCTTTTCCAAGCTGCAAAAGCCCAATGACTGAATTCACGGCAGAATAATAGGCTTCTTCCTTGTGCTTGTTGGGAAATCCAGTTATACCATTCACCTGTACCATTTGAAGATGCCTTTGTAAAGCGAGGAATGAAACAGAGAGAGAAATCCACACAAATTGCAGACTAAAGATGTATTAGCATGCCAAAACTGCCCATTTAAGAGTTGTCCGAAATCATATATCCATACATAAAAGAAGATATTTGAGTTCTATTATATTTTGCGTCGTTCGTTTATTATCTCATTATCTGCAAAAGAATATTGTACGGGCTCCTACGAGCACATCCCCCACTTCCGATAAACGAGTTACCTCGGTCATAATGGTAAAACGTCCGAGTGCGCTAAGATGGCAACCATTGAAAAATTGACGCGCAGGTAGGGGTCGAACCTACGACTTTCTGCTTAGGAAACAGACGCTCTATCCACTGAGCTACAGGCGCTTTGTAATTTTTAAAAATGTATAAAACTATTAAAGCAGTGCATAACTTGATGCTGATGCATATTACAACTCTAGGACGAGTTTGGGAGAGTCTTAAATTTGATTGATTTGCCTGTGTTTGACATCGTTTTGAAAAAGTTAATAAAACTAGCTTCACCAAAAAATCAACATCTTGACTAAATAAAAGTATATTTGGGCTTTTTGGGACTTTCACCGAACATAGCTTTTAGGCTTTTAAAATCTGACGTGAATAGTTGCATTTAGAATCTAGTATAGACTACTTCGTATGAAAAAAATCAAGAAATTAAGTGCATGTGATGGAAACAAAAGCAGGTTCATTCGGCATAACAATGAAACATGTTTGTAAAACACTGAATACGGTCCTCATATTTTATTATATGATTTTTTGGGGGCCGTCAATGGATTGGTTCTACATGATAGAATTTGGTGATCTCAGAATGTGTTGAGTTCCGACTGGTAATGGCAGCTCAGAGCTCTAGATTTGAGATTGGCAACACATCACTCTGACGGTTAAGTGAGTACTGAGTTGGTGAGGTGAAAGAGAATATCCAAGCAAAAGATTAGAACTATAGAATGTAAGCCAAATGGTGAGCGTACCTCGAGTTAGAAGGTACATCTCTGGAACGTTTGGGATGTGTGGGTACTCATTTGTTTGTTGTTTATGAGATATGCCCACACGGCATCACGGTTGTCCTTAGCCAAATTCCCCCATGAAGTGGAGGGAAACGTGCTTATCGCTACTAGGTGGGTGTGGTATCTAGATACATCTCAGTGCAAACGGATAAGAGAAAGGATGTGACATTGTAGTACAAATGGTGGGTGTGGTATCTACATACATCTCAATTGTCCCTACTTCGGAGCTCAAGGTGAACAACTAGAAGGAAGGAGTAGTTTGGTTTGAGGTGGATTTGTCAAACGCTCTGGAGTCGAGTTTTCATCAGGTCATAAATTCAAGCTAGTTTGGTTTGTCGGTTTGGGATCGTTTGACAGATCGCATGGAGCAAATGCGTAGACCTCACACGAAAATCAGTTGTCATAGATGCCAAAAGATGTACTAAACTGAGTTTGGGCTTCAGGAGAGGAACAGTCATGCCTTTCAGGACCATCAGATTGAATCGATCCCAATTGTTGATGATCTGAGTCTTTTACCTATAAATAGAGGAGGCAAGGGGTCCATTTTCACTTGTTATTTGCAAGAGCTACACCGTAGAGGGAGGTTAGAGAGATAAGACCATGATGGGAGAGTCCAGTTAGGTTGGTTTGGTCCCTTAGGTTTCTTTAATGAGTCCTCTTCCTTTCTTTGTTATGTCCAGTTCCAATTCTAGTTCCGAGGGTAAGGAGTGAGTTGACGCCCAAATTGGGGAGGGGTTCCCAGTCCAGGAGCGCTAAGGTGCCCACAAAGGGGCTTTGAGCTCTAGGAGAAAGTACAAGTTCAGCCCAACTTGGCTAACTCTTGCCGATCTCCAGGGGATAATGTAGTGGTATCAGATCCCCGAGGTACTTGATGTTATCTTATTGGGCTTCAACCAGCGTCATTGGGACCATGAGAGAACGAGGTCTGTCTTTGAGCAAGCCTTGGTCCTCAGCTACTATGACATAACCATAGGTCAACTCCACCTAAACTCTGTGAGGACTTTGATTGACACCATATTGGCTTGCTATCATTTCAACCTTCCCTTGAACATTAGAACTTTTTCCGTCCTCTGCCAAATAAAGAGGTTGACCAGCGAGAAGGGCTTCTTCTATTTGTCCTATCGCTCTGGACACAAGATGTTAGGCAATTTCCCTTCCAAAGTTGCGGAGTGGAAAAAAATTCTTTTACATCATGGCAGAAGGAGGGTGGCCTTTCACCTTAGAGTGAAGGATGGCCATCAATGATATAGGAGAGGAATCCTTGGATAAGTGGTTAGAGGCTCGAACGAAGGAATTGGTCGGCCAAAAGTTGTGGATTGGGGATTTCCTGGCTGAGGAGGCATTAAACCAAGCCAGGCTTAGTCCAACAGATAGGTTACAACTCCATACTTATGCGTTCTTCATCTATTTCTGTCCTCAGTTAATCATCTGATGAAAACTTTTGTCTTTTGCAAGAGAAAAGTCGCTTTGTTATGGGCCCGTGCATAGGATCTCGTCACGGGGCAGTCCACGGGGAAAACTCCTAGCCTTCACTTGCCCTTCCCTTTGCGTGCTGACCCTATTGTGGTGAACTGGGGGCTGATTTGTCCAAGAGATCACCCTAACTCTCCTAAGCTCTTCTCTTGATCAAAAATCCAATGCCTTTTCTTCAATTCGTGGCTCCTTAAACAGGAGATTACAGGAGGAAATTCCTAATTAAACTCAAACTCCAACTTGAACTCAAACTCCTAATTACCTACTCCTAATGGTAACACAACACCTACTTAAGATAATGATAAGATAAATTGGCGAGAAGAGATAAGGGTGGACCCACCTTGATGAGCTATTGTGTGGGTCCCGCTCTACTGCTGCTGCCGGGCGGCGTGCGCGTCTCACAGTGCTGTTGTCGTGAGGCGCGTGCTACTGTCAGGCGGTGCGTGTTGCGCGCTGTCAAGCGGTGCGTGCTGCGTGCTGCCGGGTGGTGCGTGC